ACACATTTTATAATAATATACTCTGTCACCTTCATTTTGTTCCAAATTCATTTGCTGTTATACTTTTTTTTGTTGTTATAATAAGCAACCTTATGTTGTAAAACAGCAATTAAAAGTGAAGAGGCTGTCAAGCTCCAAATAAATAATAAAAGCACCATAAAAATAGTCCATATGACTCATGCGCTGTATAGCTTTGTGTGAGAAACTGACTTAAATGGGCTGATTTAAGGATCTGTAAATATAGTATTAATAAATAAACATGCATTACTGTTCAAAGTTTTGGGGTCATTAAGATTTTTTTAAAGACAAATGAATTTATTTTTATTCAGCAAGGATGTATTAAATTGATCAAAAGTGGCAGTGATGACATTTATAATATTTCAGAAGATAGCTGTTTTAATTAAATGATGTACATATATACATATGTGTGTGTGTGTGTGTATTATAAATGTATATATATATAATATGTCTTTTAACCCTTTAATCTGTTCTAGATCAGCAAGATTGTTTCTAACATCCCTAACCTGGAGTTCCTGAACCTCAGCTCTAATCAGCTGAGTGATGCAGTCTTGGAGCCGGACTGCGCAAAGGCCTTCTCTAGCATCCGCCGCCTCGTTCTTAACAATACCCAGGTGTCCTGGGATACAGTGCACACATTCACACAAGAGATGCCTGAGTGAGTCACACTTTGAACTCTTGATGTTTTTGTAATTTTTTGACTTGTATTATGTATAACAATTACCGGTGGTGTACATGTGTGGTATTGATTGCTGTGGTCAGTTTGAGATTTTTGAGACATTATGGTTTTGATTTGATTTCTTTCACATACAGAGTATTTTAATGGCTGTCTACATGCAATCCTGCAAATGTCTTGAATAAATGATTGATTTATCATTTCTTTTCATTGTACCATCATGATACTATTGATTCTCATGGGATCATCCACTTTACCATGTTACTTTATTGAACTGTAAATTATGTTTGAGAGAATTCACTTTGAATTCATTCAACAGCTTTCAGGTAACATTATGGCCAATGAGCAGTTTTTGTTCATGCTTTAATTTGAACCATCAGATTTTATGAAAGTGTCTGTGGTATGACAGCTCTCCACTAATATTGATCTGTTTTTTCCAGACTAGAGGAGCTGTTCCTGTGCCTTAATGAGTACACCACTGTGACACCGGCCACCATGCCCTGCCCCACACTGCGTCTGCTCCACATCACAGATAACAGTCTCCAGGAGTGGAGTGAAGTACGAAAATTCGGCTCCATGTTCCCTGCACTGGACACTCTGGTCATGGCCAACAACAACCTGAACTCCATTCAAGACTCAGGAGAAATCCTTCAGCGGCTCTTCCCTAACCTTCGAAGCATCAATCTGCATAACGCAGGTATCATCGTGTTAGTGACACTTGCTGTGAAAGAGTCTAAATAATCATAGCATGTGTGTAATTGTCTAATTATTACTATTTTAGTACAGTGTATTTACATAAACCCCCCCCAAAAAAACAAGTTTTTCTTATCATTTTGTGTGATTCAGGACTTAATCGATGGGAGGACATTGAGAAGCTAAACTTTCTGCCCAAACTGGAAGAAATGAGGTTGCAAGGCATTCCTCTACTGCAGGCTTACACGAGCATGGAGCGTCGCAGTCTAATGATAGCCCAGTAAGTCCAATGTATCTTACAGGGATGAAAATTCTTTCATCATTTACTCACCCTTTTGTTGTTCCAAATGTTGGTAACCAAACAGTTTTGGTGACCACTGACTTTCACTGTACGGACAAAATATCTTCTTTTACGTTCCACAGAGGAAAGAAAGTCATACAGGTTTGGATGACATGACATGACAGAGTAAATAATGACCAAATTTGTATTTTTGGGTGAACTCACTTTAATCTCATTAGAAACTGATATTAATGTTGTAGAAATGTTGATGAGATGATCTCATTGCTCCCGCCTGCAGACTGCCGTCAGTGACCTCTCTGAATGGGAGTGCCGTGACGGATTGTGAGAGAGAAGATGCTGAGAGATTCTTCATCCGTTATCACTTGGATCATTCAGAGGAAGAGCTGCCTCACAGGTATCTTTTAGGCATGGACACTGTAGTGTAGACCATTTAGGACCTTATTGAATAGTTCTTGGACTCACACTGTGTCTACACTGGATGCGAGCGATGCAACGCAACTAAAAACAATAGAACCCATTATAATCAGTGATTCTGTCTATACTTGATGCGATGTGGCGTGGCGTAATGCGATGCGACAAATCCCCAACAGTAAACTGGTTCCCTGTTCTATTTCTAATTTACTTGAAGCTCTTACGCTACTTGAAACATGCAGACAAAGTACAAATGGATTTGCAACGCGACACAACAACGGTCACACCTGGTGTAGACTAGGGTGTGCACAAATAGTTGAATATTCAATCTGTAATTATTATTCGAAAAATAAAAACAATATTAAAATTTTGCTTTGCTTTGCTGGCCGTAAATGCAGGGAATCCATGATAAATCCTAAGCACGCAAACTAAAAGTCAGTTATAACTAAATGCATTGGCGCTGTGGAGCGTGTTAACAAGTTGATTGTATTTGATCACAGAATGTCGTTGGCTGCCTCACGAAGTTTGGAATTACTTTGATCAAAATGATTTTACTAAATGATCTTACGAAATTTTATTACTTTTGATCAAATTAATCAGTTAAATGATTTATCATAATATCACCACCACAATGAGAAATCACATGAAATCCAAACACCAGTCGAAGTCACGATGCTTCAGTGCTGTCACATCTGTAACGTTTTAAAGATTGTTATATTAAGGGTGTGCACAAACAGTAGAATATTCGATCTGTAATTATTATTCGAAAAATAAAAACACTATTTGAATTTTACTGTGTGTTGCTTTGCTGGCCGTAAATGCAGGGAATCCATGATAAATCCTAAGCACGCAAACTAAAAGTCAGTTATAACTAAATGCATTGGCGCTGTGGAGCGTGTTAACAAGTTGATTGTATTTGATCACAGAATGTCGTTGGCTGCCTCACGAAGTTTGGAATTACTTTGATCAAAATGATTTTACTAAATGATCTTACGAAATTTTATTACTTTTGATCAAATTAATCAGTTAAATGATTTATCATAATATCACCACCACAATGAGAAATCACATGAAATCCAAACACCTGTCAACTGAGGAAAGACAAGACAGCTGTCCATCACTGCATTCACGACTGCAGGTAATCGCAGCTGTATTTAGAAGAGAGCTCATCTGATGTTCTTTATATATATAATATATATATATATATATATATATATATTGAGTTAACATTGAGATATAACGTAACGTTGTAGAACATTGTTGTGTATAATGCCTAATTATAAGCTTGTTTAGAAATGGTGACAAAACTTAAAAAAAAAAAACATCTTTCTTTAAATAAACGAATATTCGGGGAAAAAAAATTTATGAGCCCAAATATTCGAATACAATATTTTTGAAAAATGGCCATCCCCTGTAGACACGGTATCAGGCAGCTGTTTTTTAAACTGTTGATCTGTGTATACATAAATACAGCTGCATTTGGGTGTCGCAAAAAGTTTTAAAACTGTGCCTTAAGATCCATACATTTCGTTCCATTATCTTGTGGTCTGTCCAGCTTTTTTTGTACACATTCAGCATAAACATGATCTGGAAACATTCTGTAGTTATAACCAGATAGTTTTTTGTATTATTATTATTATTTTATGGTATAGGATTTTGCTTTATTTGATGCACCTGTGTTTGTTTTACGATATGTAATCCACATTAGGCGATTTTGTAATTATTATTTAGACCTAACTAATATTTATTATTATATAAAATGTGTTGTTTATTAAATAATTATAAAATAATTATTCTTATTTTTTTTAATAATTATAAGCCAGATTTAAACTTCTCTTATCTAACTTTTTTGTTCTGAACTTATCTATAGAAGAAGACAGTGTATGCTAAACCATTTGTGGCAGTGCTAAAAAAAAAAAAAATCTATGCCTTAATTTATTTAAAATACATTTATTTTATACTAAGTATACTTCGAATCCTTTAACATATTTATAGACATGTCACTTAAGACTTACTGATATAAAATTATAATTAAACATTACTTGGATTGTTTCTTTATTGCACAATGTACATTTCTAAATATCATGCCTAAAATGTGTTTTAATATCACTATTAATAAGGATTGTATGATCTCTGTATAATATCAGTCTTTAAATGCAAGATATTTAGAGTGTACCTGAAGTATACTTGCAATAATTCCACTTCAGCACTATCAAGTACACTTACATGTAAGTATATCTATATAGCAGACTTTAAGTATACCAGTTTAGTATACCAAAAGTACAATTGCAGGGTATTTTTATTAAACACATAAATATGTAAATATATTTGTAGTATACTTAGGACAAAATAAATGTATTTAAAATACATTTTAATATTAATCTTTTCCACTAGAGAATGCAATGCAAACCTTTTTATACACTTTAAATAGTTTTTGCATACATACCAGAACGAAATATGCAATTGAGCTTGTGTACACTGTAAAAAAAAAAACAATTTTTGTAGGTGTTGAATAAAACAAATATTATTGGGTTACGTTTTACAAGTAAATACCATTTCAGTCTTATAAATTTGACATTTACTTCAATGTGTTACTTGCGGTTTCTTTGTAATTATTTGTGAAATTTACTAGCAATTTCTGAATGAAATAGTTTCAAAGCCAGTGTTTTTAATTTTTTTTCCAGTGTAGCTAAAAGTGCTTGCTTTTTGGTTTGACCATGTACAGTAGTGGAAGGCTGAATATGGTTTAAGTATTTGCATTTTGCTTTGGAGATATCACTGCTTGGTGACCAAATATGGGAAACTGGCTCCTCTGGCTGAGATTGACCTGAGACCACGTTGCCACGCCAAGGTGGAGGTACGCTATGAAGACAAAGTACAGCAGGTGAGCATCCGTTTGGACAAGACTGTCGGAGAGCTGAAGAAGCAGCTGAGGACTGTTGTGCAGCTCCCCATCAGCAACATGCGCATTTACTACATCGACAAGGGTTCTGCCTTCGGCCCTGATGAGTTGAAGTACAGCACACGGGCCTTGCACTCCTACAGCATTCAAGATGGGGATGAGATCTTGGTAGTTCCCAAAACAAAATAACTGTCTTTCTCCAGGATCACAAAAAGCTATATTTAAATAACCAAATCAACTGTAAACTAGCACCATCTAAGCTCCATAGAGTGAATGGGACTGTCTTTTCAGGGAAAAACTCCTAAGATTTGCTGGGGCTTCAGTTGTATTCAATCGGCACATAGCGTGTCATGTCACTACACAGTCATAAGAAACACCATGACTCATGTGCACCTTTAGTTTTGTTGCTGTTGTTAAGGGTTTACTTTTTGTTTTCAGACTTCACAAGCACCCCTGTATTTTCAAAAATAAAGCACAGCGGAGGGCTCTGGCAGCCCAGGATGTGCAGATTTGAAGACAATCACCCACAGCTGAAAGAAAATGTTGCACTGCACTGATGTCTTAAAGAAGAAATCATGGATCTCCATTGCCTGCTGATGTGTGTCGTATGCTGTCAGCCATTAATTACATGTAAAAGACTCTCAGGCCTTATATATTGTATGGGCAGTGCTAGATTCACATTCTATTATATATTGTATGGGCAGTGCTAAGATTCACATAGAAACATCTTATTCACAAATGTTTTTAAATGTCCAGTTCATTTTTATAATCTGATTGAAGAATCCAGAAGGGAATTGCGGGGCCACATGCATGTGCTATTTAATTGTGGTATTTTTTGTTTTATTCCTTTTTAAAATATTTCTATTAGTACTTTCTGTGCTGCTTTGGAAGTAGGCCCTCAAACGTGTACCTCCAATACAAAGCATACGCTTGGAAAAGTGCTTATCCTCATTTCACTTGTATCCATATTATAGTGTGTTGATTTGGATATTTTACTCTCAGAATAATGAGATGTGTTAAGTGACAGAACATAAGTCCTCCAAAGATTATGTTGATTATTATTCACAGCATTTATTATTGATTTACTGATTGGTGTTATTTGTTCAAAACAAAACAAAACAAATTAGTAGCAAAACAATCATAGTGTACGACTGTATCCAGCCAGTATAATATGAAATTAATTTTAAAAATTCAATTAAGGGAATAGTTCACCCAAAAATGAGAATTTGCTGAAAACTTACTCACCCTCAGGCCATCCAAGATATAGATTAGTTTGTTTGTTGATCAGGACAGATTTAACATTAAATCACTTGCTCACCAATGGATCCTCTGCAGTAAATGGGTGCCGTTAGAATGAGAGTCCAAACAGCTGAAAGAAATATCACAATAATCCACAAGTAATCAGCAGCGTGTTTGTAAGAAACAGATACATCCTAAAAACGAAATTGCCTTCTCCAGTGAAAAAGTCATCTCGTCTGTATCAAGAGAGATATATTTCTCTCCTGATTCAGAAGAGATTATTTTTCAAGCACCATTTACAAGTAAAAAGAGTCCAAAAAAGTTTTGAACTAATATGTCAGTGTATTTTGATGTGAGAGGACAACAGGGAATGGACGACTTGAGTCATGTGGATTACTGTTTGAACTCTCATTATGGCGGCACCCATTCACTACAGATGATCCATTGGTGAGCAGGTGATGTGATGCAAAATTTCTCCAAATCTGTTATTTTATTATTTACTCATGTTGATCCAAACCTATGTGACTTTATTATATTTTTTAAATATTTCTTTCTCGTTCCAAAATGGAAGTCGATTACAAAAACAGTTTGGTTACCAACATTCTTTAGAGCATCATCTTTTGTGTTCTACAGAAGAAAGAAAATCATACCGATTTGGAATGACATGAGGGTAAGTATAAATTAAGTTTTAATTTCTGCGTGATTTATCCTTTTAAAGTCACTGAAGCTTGACTAAAATGTGTGTTGAAATGTGCAATGCAAGACTGTTATCATAAGGTGCAGAAACTGACAAGTTTATTCTACAGGAGTTATAGGATCAAACCATCAAATGATTTATTTATACCTGGTACATTGATCAAATCAGTGCATGAACCTCATTTGCATGTTTAGCAACTGAAATTGGTGAAAACGTAGTCCCCCCATATATAACCGGATAGCTTAACTTGAAGGATGGACTGAATGGAAAAGCACTGAGATCCTTTCGGCGTAACTGTCAGAGTACCATGCTACACTGACACTCACAAATGCTTAGGTTAGTAGTACATGCTGAATGTTGAAGGCTAGAAGCACTTCACATTAAACATTTCAGGTTTCTCATCAGTAAGACGTGATTTAAACCATGTTGCTTGAATTAAGTTGTAATTCAGAATTTGTAATCTGTTTTTTGATCATTTTATAACCAAAAAGTTAAATGAGTAGATAGAGATTTAATGACTTATATGTGTATAACTTAAAGTGAAATGTAAAATGTTAAAATCAGCTCCTATAGTTGTAGAAATAATTTGTTTGTTGTTTGGTCGGCGGAAGAACAATGATGGATATGATATAGCAAGGTTCTAGCATCCGCTATGCCTTTAACACTCTTTATGCCTTTATCCGCAACCCTTAATCAAACATTAAAGCAGAATGAAGCACTGTTTTTTTTTCCTCCAGAATTCACTTTTAGAGTATCAATATTTGATGTTCTGTGCCCACACAGGACATGCTATTGATATTAGGGTTTCATTTTTGCAAATATTTTTTTTCTATATGAATGCATTATTAATATTCCAGTGATATGACCTTGAAGGTAATGCCACTTAAATTGCGAAGAAAAAGAAACTTTTATGGACTGTCATTATAGTGTTATTATAGTATTATTTATATAATATTATTAATATTTTGAAATAACATTTATTTTCAGTTTTCATTTTAATTTTAGTTAAAGTTTTAGTAACTTCATAATGGGCTCATCATTTTTTATTTTTTTTTTTTTTTTTTTAAGATAATCTATATTTTTATATTTAAGTAATTTTAGTACTTCAACTTCAATTCATTTTTTTAAAGTTTTTCATATAATTATATTGTATTTTATTTCAGCTGTATTTCAATTTACTAAAACTGTTAATAGTTGTAATTAACATCACTGCTGTCATGGCCATTTATTTTTTCAAAATATGTTTACTGTGATTTTGTTTTTAGAGCCACTCTCTAGGGTATTTCTGTTTAGCATTGTTTTGAAAATAAATGTGAGGGGTGTACTCACTTCTGTGAGATACTGTATATATCATTCTGCCTAACATTTCTTTTTTGTTCCACGCCAAAAAGTTGTTATATAGGTTTGGTACATGAGGATGAGTAAATGATACATCATGTTTATTTATTTGTAGAATTTGTATTTAATTTTTTATTTGTTTGTTTGTTTGTATGAACCATCCCTTTAAATCGCATCAAGCGCTGCTACTAATCTCAAACGTGTTTATTCCCGTCGCCAGGGTGACATTAGGCTTGTTTGAGATGAGCAAAATCTGCGCAGAACCGATCACCGGTGATCACCGCGAGAGATGGGAAACGACTGACTGACGTCACAGCTTAATGCTCATTGGTTCAGACACCTGTGATGCTGCGGTTCTCTTCTAAAATCTTTTATTTGTTTATCTGATTTCATGTGATGATGTATTTAAATTATGCATGAATATTCCCAAACACTATGACAGTGCGATCTCTGTGTGAGATAATGTGATTGTCATATTTCTATCAAAATATAAATTACATGTTTGTATTAAAGTAAAAATTGATGATAAATACACCTTTCGTATGGAATTAAATAGCAAGCACTTTGAGTGTCTTGTTCATCATATTTATTTTCATATAAAAGCAACAGAACTGAAATTATATCATGTTTATTAGCAACACAGCATGTAAGTGTGAATAACGCGATATCTGCCTTTGATCTCGTTGGTATCTGTTCACTTCGAGAGGTCAGAACTGTCCGTCTTGCCTGCGCTTATTTCACTCCCCTCACTGCAGCCGCCTACTCTCGCCTTCATTTCAGGCAAGGCGAGGTGCATCTCAAACAAGCCTATTGTTGGCGGTGGCATTGTGATGACGTTCGAGAGCAGGACTAGCCAATTAGATGAAAGAAACGCTCGCCGACGTCACTGTTAAAGTGAGCGACCGTTTTTTTTTTTTTTTTTTTTTTTTTTTTTTTGGAAGTCAAGAGCTTGGAATGTTACAAGGACAGAAACAACCAAAATGCCTCGGTTGTTATTTATACTGTCTTGAAGGGCATCAGTGAACTATCGTGTATCGGCTGCTAGAGTTCAAAGTGTCTTGCGTGGAGGTCTCACTTGCGGTGGGCTCTTCCCTGAAAGAGCGGAGGATGGTCTCGCTCACTTCGGTGAGTAATGTTATGAATGCTCGCGCTGCACATTCTTGCTTCGCTGTTATCACTAATTTACTCAACCGATTTGGAAACGTCCAGACGTTTCACTAATTACATAACATCGAGTCTTGTGTCTGCAGCGGTAAATCGCGAGTTAGGTATTTAATTCTTCAGACCCAGTCCTGCAGATTGAATTTATTCATCTGAATGCAAAGTCTTTTTGTTTTAAATAACTGGGAAGTATCGTGTAACTGTACGTTAGTCTGGTGCAGTCTCTCTTTTTAAAGATGATATTAATATAAACTTGATATTTATTCAAAGTGTTCGGGTTATGCTTTGTTTATCTAGTACTTGGTGAAGTTTAGTGATGTAGCGCTGAAACGTTGCACTGCAGCCGTCAGCGCGCAGCTGATCACGTGAGTGACACGCTTCTGAAGTACGGGGGACTGGGCAGTGTGTAACGTTACCCCCCTTTTTTGTCTTAAACCTTGATGTTTCCCTTATTTGTCTGCTTCTGATTAAAGTAGTTTATAAATATACTACTTATTCATAAAATGTGTAAATTAGTGTCATGTAGTGTTGTTAAAACCTTACCCCTCTAGTAGGATTACACAACTAGATTAGTTGTAACAGTAACAAAAACATTGACTTGAAATAATCTGAACAAAGTTAAACAAAATGGAACCGTAAATATTCTGGCATTTGCCACAATTATGCGATTGTAGGTCTCATATTTATAGGTAATATTTGACACAAATATGGAGGTTAAACAGATGGCGTTACAAATGTTACAACACCCCCTGTCTCCCCTATTAAATTAATGTCAGACTTGTTCAAAGCCACAGTCTCAGAGGTATTTTTTTTTCTTAAAACTTACAGGTAGCCTGCATAATTTTGTTGTTACATAAGCTATCAAACCTATATGTTTGTTTTAGTAGTATTACAGTAAGTCGTGTGGGTGTGGGTGGTTACTTACGTAAATTACAATCTCCCATAATTACTAAATTATTAAACTCTCTGATGATTACTTAACTGTTACCCTCCCATATTGATCCTGACTGGCTTTTATTGACCGTTGCCATGTAGTTATAGTACTTTTAGTACATCTGTTCCTCTGTTATTGGGATATTAAGCCCAGCTAAACAAACCATAGACGTCTTGAGAAAAAAATTATCATATTAGCCTACATGTTTACCAGTGCTGTACCTAATTGAAATATCAAGATATTTTAAGAAATATCTTCATAATTTAATATTTGAATTATTAAATATATTGCATATGCAATTTGTTTGTATTTTTATATAAATATAAAATGTTTACTTTAATTATATAATATATATAGAATAATTAAAAACAAAAAATGCAATTTGTCTGTAGAGACGGAGTGTTAATCCAAAGTTAATGGGTTCACCTTTTGAAATTAAAAACAAAGTATTATTAAAAATAATATTTTTAAAAAAGTATTAAAAACAAAAAATTCAATTTATAAATACAAAAATATATATAAATATTGAATATATTTATGTAAATACATTTTAACTGTAAATAATTATTTATAATCATATTGTAAAACCAGTCCTGCCCATAAAAAGTCTTAATGCAATTCCTTTAAGTACAAATTGGAATGCAGGAGTGTTGAATGACCCAGGGAGGTCATAGGCAATTGCTATATTTACCAGCTCAGTAATATGATCTCTAGCATTCTGGATCACTCTGCTCATGCAATTCTTCCCTGGTCCTCTCACTCTGGAGCTACAGCCTCCAAAGCAACACGCTGTCCATGGAAAATGCTACTGGTGAGCCTCTTCTCCAAATGACTCGCTCTTTTCTTTAACTTTAAGCTGTGGGGGAGAGCGCGTGACATTCTCAAGTCATCAGTTGTTATGTTCTCTATTGTTAGCCGTTCAGCGTAACCAGGACCTGGATTGTAATGGAAGTCTGACATTTAAACTGATGCCTAGGAATACTGAACATTTGTAAGCGTAGTTTTAAAAGATGCTCTCATATACCTCTTTATTAACCTAGAAATGAGTTGTCATATATGCTTTTATATTTCTCATAGGCTTTATATAGGCCTGTTTCCTATATACATATATATAAAATGATAATTTTTAAATGAATAATTTTTAAATTAAGCTGTATAATGTTGTCTTTTTAGGTTTGAGCAGTGAACGGTGTATGTGAGGTATAATGAACCAACATCTCTGTTTTTCCGTCCACTAGAACCGAGAACGGCTCTACTTACAGTAGGTACCCCTGAACCTAACACCCACCTGCTAGTGCACTTTGCACACATGATACCGAGAGAGAGCCGTGGCACTTACAAACAACATACAGGGTTGCTGTTTGTCTCTGGAGCTTTTTAGGGTGTGTTAATACAGTGCAAGTTATTGAATTCATCTTTTGAAATTAAAAAAAAAAAAAAACCCACCAAAGCAGTTTTTTGAGTCTATACACCTGATTTGCAATTTTAGTTGCTCACGTTAATCCCCATGTTTTCAATTTCATTGTCTCCTTTTCATAAACAGTGGCCCTAATGTCAGTCTGTTACAAAATCTGTGTTCCACATTCCTTATTAAGGTTGTCTACACTCACTGTAAATGATTTAAAAACCTGGAATGACCTGCTACCTTTAAAATTTGGTCTGATGTTGTTTTTCCAGAATAAATAAGCTTTGAAAATTCATGCCAGACCAGTGCAAGTGTGATTCGCATAACATAGCTGCGGATATAAGGTAGATTTTGAGTTTGGTTTGGCAGGCCTGAGTATTGTTGAGAGGCGAGTCTTGCCAGATTGCTTTTGGTCACAGGAGGGGGGGCTGAGGTGTCAGTTTGGTCACTGAGCTATTATCTGCCCACATTTCAGGGTAAATATAGCTGTACCCAAGACTTTGCCTCAAGTCTTCAGCATATTGTTTGTGTTGCTAACACAAACACCTGCACAAGTTTTAGATTTTTTAGGACGGTACGGTGTTTTGGTGCAATATCATGGTGGCTTCCTGGAGACCAGTTCTGATATTTGAAGTTATACAGCACATATCACAGCAAAACTGTTTTCAGGATTTTTTATTGACCTTTTGATTAGGGCTGGGTTTTGACTCAAATTTCACGATTCGTTTCGATTCTTATTCACAAGCTTGTGATTCGATTCGATTACCAATTCGATTCGATTCAATGTCGATTATTTTGGATATATACCAGGTACAGTACATGCCAAATTTTCTCAAGGAAAAAAAATCTCTCAACTAATGCTGTAAAATATGCATGAGAGTCAGTTGGTACTACATTACTATAATATTGAAGGTTAAAATTGACTGATTTGTTCAAATTACACTTAATTAAGTTTTTTAAATAATAAAGTTACAATTACATAATAATATTTCTACTTCAATTTATTTTATTTTTTGATATAAACGGTGGCTGTCATAAAAACGTGATGGATTTATTCAAACATAAATTAAACACTGAAGCAACGGCATTTATTGTTTGAATACTGCAATACAATGAACAGAATTTGAAATCTGAGACTTTGTTTCATATTAAAAGTACCAAAGCACAATGCTTATTGCGATATATTGGATGGGAAGTGCCCTTCAGTGTTCCGTCCATTAACTGAAAACAGGCTAGAATAATCGATTATTGGGATTTAAGAATCGATATCGTTCCGAAAAAATGAGAATCGATTAATATAGAGATATCAATATTTTTTACCCAGCCCTACTTTTTATGATTCTTTGCAATTCTTAGTGCAGTTTGCTTTCTATGGAGGCATATTTCTGTATCAGAGAAAAAGACAAAATGTAATGCGAGGCTAACATTTACATTTAAAGTCACATTGTAAGATATTAAGCCACAACTGTTAGAAATAAAGTCACAATCATCTTTTTATTTTTTTACTCTGAGGTGGAAACTGGCTTTCATAGCTTTCCAAATGTTGAAGAGCTAAAAGTAGGTGAACTGACGTGTTAAATGTGAATGTTAAGGAGCATGAATGTGGGGGTGTGCACGTAATGACAGCAAGTCTATCAGCATGAATGCAAGTGTGGATGTCTGTCAGGCATCACGGGGCTGAACCACGTCTGCTTTGATAAGTCCCCACCTGTCACATGCTCACAGTCAGAGACACTCCCACAGCTTAGACCCTGACCACTGACTAAAACCCCATTGACTTCCTTCATGCTGAACCAACTGTATGTGAGAAATGTTAGTATTTTAACACCGTGTCTACACCGCGCCACAACAGCTAAAGTCTGACAAAGCGACCGTTGAAAATCATTTGAAATTTGTGTCCGTACGTAATAAATAGAACTGCAGCAGCAGTGTCGCACCGCGCCGCATCCAGTGTAGACCGCATCACTGATTATAAAGAGTTATATAGTGTTCTATTGAGTTCTATTTTGTCGCGCCGCTCGCGTCCGGTGTAGACACGGTGTAATACTAACATTTAAGAAAACACACACACACACACACTAAGTCCAAACTCCAAACTCCAGTCTCATTCTACTAAAAAGATTAGTTTAGGTTAAAAATGGAAGTTTCTTTATTAGTAGTAATTAATATTTCTCACAGAAGATGACTACCGACAACAGAGCCTGCTTCTATGATTTGGCTAAATAGATGAAGTGTATTTATATTTATTGAGTGACGTACAATTTTGTTCAAAAGTTTTTTTAAATATTAATACTTTTTATTCTGTAAGAGTGCATGAAATTGATCGAAAGTAGGATTAAAGTCAAATAAATGCTGTTCTTTTGAACTTTCATTAAAAAAATCCTTAAAATATGTACAAAAATGTTTTCACTAAAGTATTAAGCAGCACAACTGTTTTTAGCATTGATAATACATTACATTTTTAATTTGCATTACATAAAAAAAAAATGAATGTAAAAAATATTACCGTATTGACCCGAATATAAGACGATGTTTTTTTTTCTTGGAAACACATCTGAAAAAACGCGGTCGTCTTGTATTCGGGGTCTAGACTTTGACATGTCAATAATACACCCACAACAATAGGTGGCGCCAAATACGCATAAAACGAGTGTGCCATGAAATACGTAATGTAATGCGTGTTGTAAAGATCGCGAGTAAAAACAAAAGAAAACCTTACAGCTGCATGAGTCGTGACTGTCACGTTAGCCTGATGGGACCAAACTCCCTTTGTGATTTTAAAACGTAAGACAGTACCCAGATTTGAAGACTACAGTAAGATTTAACTTCTACTGTTAATAAGATTTTGGTAGGCTACTATTAGATGGATAGCCTAAATGTCTTAATTCAGATGGGCTACCTGTTTTGTTTTTTTGTTTTTTTTAATGGTATATCAAAAAGTGTATATTTTTTAAATGTGATTGTTGGTACAGTTTACCAGTTTTTACCATACTTTCAAAACAAAAATTAAAATAGAAAAAATATGCAATATGAAAATAATTGAAGACAAAATGTGTTTTACTGAGAAAAAACAAGATTTGGTTTTTAAAAAGCCTTTTCCCAAAAGTACATCTGGAAAAAGGGGGGGTCGTCTTATATTCGGGCAAATACGGTATTTTAATAATGTAATATTTTAAAATATTACTGTTTTTATTTTATTTTTTATAAATACAGCCTTGGTGAGAATAAGAAACTTCTTTAAAAATATTTAAATACTGACCCCAAGTTTTGTAACAGTATTGTATGTTAAATCTCTTGTCTGTGTTTTGTAATGATCCTGTAGTAACAAGAAACTTTCTAGTGATCTCCTCATATCAAAAGTTTTTTTCTAGAATATAGCTTATTCACAAGGTTCTTACTTATAAACGTAATTTAAATATATTTAATATTATTTTAGAGTATTATAAATATAGAGTAATAAAGATAATACATTATTATCAATAATAGTTTAATAATATTAAACTGTTAATGATAATAATTATACCCATGTCCTCAGTTTCTCGTTTCTCGCGTCGTTTGGCTGCAGAAAAAAATAAATAAAAAGATAGTCCTACATTTTAAAAAACTTATTGATATCCTGTTTGAGTTCATCAGTTTGCCTACCAATGGTATGAGAGGAATACAGCTTTCACTCTCAACCAAACTAACGTTAGTCAATCAGAAGTAGAATGGGGCAGGTCTTGGAAAAAGTGTGGTTGAGATCCAGCTGCAACCAAGTCCTTCTACGCCTGTTTCACACATACTCCGTCTGCAGTGCGTGTGTGTTGTGTTTTTTTTTACGCACCCATGTTTAACGGATTAGTGTTCAGGTTGCGGTCCGGTGTTGTGCCCATTTTCGACCCCCTGCCAAATTATTACCCCTCACGTTGAAATCGCTATCTGATTGCCTTACCCTAACCCCTCCCCCACACCTAACCTTAAACCTACCAATACTAGGGGGGTAATAATCTGGCTGGGGTCAGAATTGGGCACAACACCGGCAGTGCAGTCTATTTTTGCTGTGCTGCACGCGCTGAATTAAAGTGACAGTGCATTGTTCGCAGTAAAAATGAACATAGATTGACATGGAAATGTAGTAATTTCACAATAAATGTTATTTATTATTTATAACATTGTTATTTATTGTAATTCTTTGTGGTATTACAGGGGTTTGAATATTAAGGATCTTTCTCAATACCATATGCTAGGGTTCTTTTGGCTTGTGGGCAAAGAGAGGGAACACAGTGTGAAAGCAGTGGACAACTGTCTTAAGAGTTCTCGTCTGATGAAAGCATGTTAGTGTCGGTTTGCCATGTGCTTTGGACTGCCTCCAGTGTGCTGCCTACCCTAGATCTACGTGTTGAAATATTGATGCATCTGTGAACGCTGCACTAAGAGAGGGAGAGAGAGTTTGCAGCAAGACAGATTAAAGAAATAAGAGCCATCACACTGAACCCAGCACGGATCAACAACACCAGATACTTTTATTTATTCAGATGCTGCACTGCCTTGTGAACAAGAGCCCGTCTCTCCTCAAGAACAAACTGTGCCGCGTAAACACATGGCCCAGCTCTGGGGGCTCTCTCGTTTCATTCAAACTGCGGGGTCTTCAGTGCTGCGCTCGGGCTGTACCACCAGTCCAGGCCTCTCTGAAAACAATGGCACTCATTTTGTTCAGCATGTTCTTCATTCAGGGTCCCGTGCTTGCAGCGAAGCCCCCGTATGTTGCGTAATATGCACCCCTCGCAGTAATAAGTTGAATAACGCTTAAATTACCTTACTGATAAAAATGTTCAGAGTTTCATCTGAGAAACAAAAACAGGACGAGCCCCCAATTTCATGTTACGCCCCGTCTAGGGTGAAGGCGCAACATGAAGGAGTATGAAGACACGGAGGAGTTTTGGAAAACGAATGAACAGTATTTTAATTAAACAATGATTTTACAGTACAAGAGGGGGAATTTTAGCTTCAGGAGCCGACAAGGCCAAAATAACAAACAGAAAACAACTAATATACAAACCTCTAAATTCCCTAGTTCACAAAATAAAATAAAAATAAAATACAATTACTTCCCTAACTTCCTATCCAAAAACAATCAACAAACAAGGTTCCAACAAAAATGGCGTCGGTCTCCCTACCTCCCCAGAATTCTATTATATACAATTATTTACAATGATAAGCGAACAGATCCGAACAAGGGCAATCCAGAATCATAGTCAAAGAACAGGCAGAAGTTAGTAGCAAGAATAAATGGGCAAAGCAAACTAACAAACAACAAACAATCTCTCACCAGCGAACACTCGATTGAACACACACAGAAATTCTCAGTCTTACGAACACATGTAACTAACTAGCAGAGTCAAGGCAGAGCAAACACAACAAGAGAGCGCAAAAGCTGAAGCAGGAAGTGATGACGGAGTCTCTTATAGGCAGCAAGGAGTCAGCTGATCAGGCAGGGCGTGGCACCAATTAGACTGCAGGAACCAATCAGCTTCTTCCTGGACAGAAGACACACACAAACACTTCCCAAACAAAAGAAAACACAGAAGTAGAACAAAAGGGACGTAACAGTATGCTGTGTTTGAACAAGAGTCACATGCTGCTACTCATCGAATATGTTTTCAGGTTCAAGCGCACAAAGCACAAGAGTCCTCAGGGCATGACACAGCGTCATTCAAAATTCATAACCGGTAGTGTTTATACCCTACAAATTTTGACTGGAATTGCCCAACTGAAGAGAGAATTTCTTTCCCTAAGGCTGAAATACACACCTAATGAAACCGCCGACCTGAGTGTGTGGGATTTTGAGGCATTTTGGAGTTAATCTTATTAATCTCATTTTATCAGTCAGTGTAGATGTCACGTCAGTTGGGGCCACTTTGACAAAAGTGTTTTTTTTTTTTCACTTTCACATACAAAGTGTTTTTCGCACTTTCACATAGAATGCACATACAAATATTTTATATTTATACATAGCAGCTATGGATGCACAATATCCATTGTGTACCGTTTTGGTTATCAGCTGATATTAAAGTTTTTTTGAAATTTTTTTTTTATCTGTATTAGCTGTTATTGGATATTTAATTGTTTATTAATTGTTTTATACATCTTAATTTAGAAGTAAACGCTCATTTAACCGAAAGCCTACTGTATCATATTTGATATGCAAATTTCTAAGGCCTCTAAATTATCACATGATGGAAACTTTGCTGAAAAACCTGTTGCTCACAATCTACTAAGTGCTATCATTTTTCCTTCTCGAGTATAAGCTCCATATTCTCCTATTATATATCATACTATATGAGCCATAAAAGCCTAATGTATGAAATATGGTACTCACATATGCAGACTTTTTTTTAGATCAAGATATGTCAGGCTTTACAGGGTTAAGGTTAATCTTTAAAAACCCTAATAATTTAATAACACTGTTAAATGTAATCTTTAGCGAGTCTCAAAATGAATATCTATTTTTCATACTGTACATTATAATGTTGTGATGCCTAAATTCACTTATATTATTCAAAACAATTTATTTTAGTTTAGTGTTTCCTTTTTATTAATCTAGACACAACAGTGTAGAATTTTAATATCTGATATTTAACAGTTATTAAACTCACAATGTAATGGAAGTAGTGACAGATCTTTTCTTCTGTATTGTGACATATATCCGAGTAAAATGGATTATCAAAAATAAAATAAAAAAAATGTTGGGTAGGACTTGGTTTAATCTACTGGTTGTTGATTGGATGTTGCAGTCATTTGTGTAAAAAAAAAAAAAAAGGGTTTAAGTGGATGAAATGATTGGAGAAGTCCAGCAAACGTCACCAGTGAAGTCTGTCATTTCACTGGAAGATCCAGTTAATGACATTTTGATTGAAAACTACAAGGTAAAAAGAAAAAGAAAAAAATGAAGCATGCATGGATGAATTGTTCACAATAAGATCAACAACATACATTAAACAGATTTTCATTCCATGCTTTAAAACTGAAAATGATTACTGGTTTATCTGTATTGGCCAGAATTTTAATATCACTGAATGCCACACTTTTTCTCCTTTCGTTCACAGATTCCATGCAGCCTGAAATTGCCTTACATCCAGCTGAGCTGCCAGCATGTCTCGTGTCTCCTCTACAGCGAAGCGCTATACTGGCTCTTCTTATACCAGTCACTACAGCTCATATGGCTCCTCCCTGACTCCATCGCTGGGCTCATATGATCGGGAAAAGCTGCCCTATAAAAGCTCCTCCTCAGGCTACTCCTCCTCAAGCTACCTGAGCTCAAGTGCCAGCCGCTCCCGCAACTACAGCTCTTCGTTCGAGCCGGATCGGGGTCGGCCTATCCCTCGCACCGATTTGCTGGGTGGACGGCGCAGCGAGAGCCTGAGCCGCACACCGGCAAAGGGCTATGGCTCGGGCCTCAATGGAGGCTCGGCATACAGCAGCTACAGCTACTCTCCGGCCCCTACCAGCTACCTCTCGACCTCACCCGTTTCCTCCAGCATCTCTCTCAGTCGCAGGAAGTCGGTGAGTCAGAGCGATTTGACGCACGATCTATCAGCTCTGGGCCTGAGCGAGACATCCAGTGGCAGTGGCCCGAAGCAGTCCTACCAGAGCCGAGGCACTGATGTATCTGACACCTATGGCCAGCTACGCTCCAGCTACGGCCTCTCACGGAGCTCCACACAGGACAGTCTTGGCAGCAGCGGCCTGAAGAGCAGCAGCAGCCGATTCTCCTCCAGCTGTCGCTCCACCTCACCAGTCAGAGAGTCTTTGGTAAGAGCATTCATGTTTTCTCGTTGGACAGTAGACATCTATTTCCTTAACACACTTCCGCTAAGTTGATGTTTTTCACCAGTCCTCATATTTGCATCACTCTCCTTTCTCAAGTGTTACACAAGAGCCCTTCGGCTCAGAGAGTTTGTGCTGAGAGGTGTAAGGAATGTGTAACATTCAGCTGTTTCAAGTGTCTCTTATGATTATAAGTGAACTCATCTTAGGCAGTTGCAGATCAAATTATTGATTTGGTCACATATTTAGAATAGCATACTAACATAAAAACCCTACTACTAGATAGGGATATATGGCTTTGTGTAATTATCAGTAACTGCAATATACAGTCAAACCAAAAATTATTCGGACACCAGATATAATTTTTGATTTTTTTTTTCTAGTGGGTGCAGGACACTATAGTTCATTTATGTAAGTGAGTGATAGCAAAATTAAGTAAACTGTGACATATTATCCCCAAAAATTCTTCATACAGTGGACTACCAGTAAAATTGATAAACATTTGGGACCAAAAATTATTCAGACACTTTGACCTGACCATGTTTTGCTTAAGTGTTATCTGACATTATCAAGATGAATTTATTCTGACACAGTTTAATTCTTCTTAAATAGTTTAACTCTTCTTTTAATAGTTCTTGTCATATTTTATCATCTTGTCATATTTATTACCATTTTCTAAACTATAACAAAGACTATAGAATACCCAAGATGTGTCACTCGTTATCAGTAATTATCAGTAACTGATTTTTGCAAAATTTTGCAGCACAGCAAACCTGGAGCTTTTTTATCGCAATCACAATTTTTATCTTAATTAGGTTTTCCCCCCCCAAATCGTGCAGCCCATAATGCAGTGTGCTCTACTTGACCTTTCATTTCCAGTGTGACAAATGAACTAAAAAAATATCAGCTGTAATTTTATTTTTGCAAAATTTTGCAGCACAGCAAACCTGGAGCTTTTTTATCGCAATCACAATTTTTATCTTAATTAGGTTTTCCCCCCCCCAAATCGTGCAGCCCATAATGCAGTGTGCTCTACTTGACCTTTCATTTCCAGTGTGACAAATTAACTAAAAAAATATCAGCTGTAATTTTTAACATTTCTTTGATTTATGACATTTGTACTCAAAAATGTATTAAAACTGCAGAATAATATGTTTTAGGCAGGAAAAAAACCCTCTGTGGAATACAGTCTGTGGCTATTCTTTTAAATTAATTGCTGTTTGTCATTAATTAAGCTATTCTCAACAAGGGAGCCCAGGCTAAAAGAGCAGCGCTGAGCAGTAAGGTCTGTCTAACTTTAAAATGATTAGTGTAGACTACATTAGTTTACACCTGAGAATTTCAGAAACTAATCAGCTCAACAAGTGTAAGTCTGAGTGCTTTTGTCAACTCAATTTAATTATTACACTAATGCTCCAGATACCCAGGCCATTTATGCTGTGCTAAACCAGGCTGCTGTGGACAATTGCAAGAATCAGATATGCACTATAATTCTTTCAGCGCTACTCTAAAGGGTTCAAGATTGCCAGACTTGAGTTTTATTACTGTTGTAATGGAGCAGAGTATTATGCTTTTTTTGATTGTTGTGAATTATAGAATATAGGAAAGCAGTGCATTTAAGCAGTGCATTCACAGTGTTGCCACAAGGGGTGCTATAGTGAACATTAGTGTAAACACTTTTTTTATTATCAGTTTTCAGATCATGAATTTAACAGTTGGCTCTTTTTCAATTTATTAGTCAATTAATGAGAATGACAGGAAGTGGAGTTTACTCAATTGCAATTAAAAAAATAATAATTTCCAAGAAATGAAGAGTTCTCCCTGTCTGTAAGGTCAATAAAACCTTCAAAATAAATACTTTGAGTTTTTTTTAACTCTCAAAAAAAAGGTTGTTCAGAAAACATTCAAAGTTTTTTTTTTATTATTACACCGGGGTTATATGAATCTCTTGGAACTTGACAAAAAATAAAATTTTAATTGAGGAATTGAATTTGAGTATTAAAAATAAAAATGCACTCTCAATTAAGTTCTGAATATTGCACAACCCTAAAACTTCTAACTGGTTACCGTTAAACTGTTGACATGTTTCTAGCTATCTGAATAGCTAACACATCCATAACAGATCCAGTGCAGTGGCATAGGTACATTTAAAGGTAACTCTATCAGCCCCATGAGTACTGACGTTTGTTACCACCACAGTAATGCAAGAACACACATTATTGCGCACTTGCAGTGTCTGCGTACTTGTGTAGTGTATATTTCTGCCCTAATATTTCTGTCCTTATTCTGGTTTATCTAAAGTATTTTTGCTGACCAAATCAGTTTTATCAGTGAGGAAAAGCACAGGCTGCAGTAGGTACACAGTTGGCCCCATCTCCGACTACCATTAAAGTATTGTGGTTTCCCATCCGATGGTAGGTTAGTGTTAGTGAGAGGCTTTGCATGCATGGCTGGGCCAGCATTAACACAGTTTCCCTGCCACAGTCTGACTCTTTCTATTCAGCAGTTTTATTAATGATGCCAGTCTGTCTCAAACAGAGAGACTTTGCACTTCCGTAGCCCAGGAGTAAACAATTCCTGTCACGTTTTCTACTTCTTCTACTACTCATTGCGCCAAGATTTTTTATGTAACATATCTGTTAGTATGTAGGCTGTTCCACAACATTAACCTAAAATACCCTCTTTTTTAAAAACTTTTGAAAATGTTTCACGTCTGTTTTGATGAGGCTCAAACCTACTGGAAACATCCGCCTCCTTTTTTGGGCCCTTTTTGGCACTTGGTTATTGGCAGTGTATCTCAGAGACCGCTGAAGGCTCAGGACTTCTTATTCTCTTCACATGAGGTCCTTAAAGAGGAAACCCAGTGAAGACTAAATTCTTGTTCTGAGTACAAAGTGTCCCTCTGGTGTTTTCCTGTGTTTAAATTTATGTGTGGATGTTGGCAACTGAGATTTGCAGTGTTAAATTTCACTCACTCATCACATGCTCTTTTATTATCAGAGCATCCAAAATTTGTGCTGCTGTTTACATAGCATTTTAGAACAGGTCACCTGGTTTTTTTTAAAGCGTCTTCACACATTTCAGCACGTGCATTTTGTATGAAATTCAACTATAGTGGTGCCCTGGTGCACATCAAGTCGTTTGGCTGAAAGCCAAGATGGATCTCTGGCACTCATTCAAAGTGTCTAATTACACATTTCAAGAAACGCATTAATCCATCCTGTTTCCTTTAGCTTTTCACCCTTGTTGTGTTCCGTAGCATGTCGAGGAAGTGTTTTCATTTGCTGTTTGTTGTGTTCATAGACTTATTTTAGTCATAAGACTAAAAGGGTCAGTGATCCTTCTCCCTCTCTGAAATGCCACTTCAATAACCGGTCACCCAACTTCCTGTTTCTATATAAACATGGATTAACGTGGTCAGCATTCTGTGGTTTTCTTTACAATTAAATCAACTTCAGTGGAATATGGTATGAATAAGACGTAGACAGAAAGGAAAACTTTTCTGCGTCATGAAAATAGATTTATTGTATTCATTGTAGTCTATCCTTCTCAACATCGTTTTCATCTGCATAAAATGCAGTGTCGGGTCTGTCTTGACTAAAGTATATAGGACTGTGGGATGCATGTAGAGTGTGGCCTTCAAAAGTGACTTTGTTCTCATTTAGGTAACTTTAATGCTACATTACGTGTTTCCAGTATATCAGAACTGGGTTGCAGCTGATGACATTTGACCCACCATCTCATAAGAGCATAACGGCCTCAGTCTGGTATTCTCTTTTGGGGTTTAGTGTGTTTCATACCCTGTTCTAATTTCTCTGCCCCTTTTCAGGGCTCTACGCTTACTTTTCTTTAAGCTTCTCTTGCGCATGCAAATTTAATTTACGCTTACAGTCTTATGTACACTTCCACAACTCTTATCCTGCGTATGCAAATCTTTTTGACGTCATTCTACCTTCATAGCTTCTCTCATAATACTGTAGTGAGGGCGACAGCTGAGCTGAGTTGAACATGGAGCTCAGTCCAATAAACTAGACATATTGTCCCACTTTTTGTTGCTTTTACCATTGTTGACAGTTGTTCTATTTTCAATCTGATTATAAGCTTTTTTCCTCTTAAAGAACTGTAGCTGTAAGTTGAGTCAAATTTATTTGTATAGCACTTTTTACAATACACATTATAAAATTATAATGTTAATCTGTATAATATCTTAATATCTTCATAATTTATAGTCACATTTAGCAGATTAGAGCTAGGTGATAATGTAGTTTACATTTTTGCAATGATAAAAACAATCATGCAGTTGAGTTTGCTATATAGTATTTATCTCTTGTGAATGTACTGTACGTATGCGGATGAAATTGGATATACTTAGCTAGCTGTGTGATAATATAGTTTACATTTTGCAACAATATAAACAAAATGTAAGTACATTTGTACATATATTCACAGCAGTTTGTCTTATTTGTGTACCTTGTTGGTAAGGACGAAAGTTTAAAGTGAGTGTTGAGGTTCATCTTGTGCAAAGTTTAATATATAATTAAAGATCATAAAAATTACTGTCACAAACATTACTGGTAATAAATATTATCTTTTCCCTTTTACCCTTTATCTTTTCGATGTAAGGAAAGTTGAAACTGATTTAGGTTGTTCCGTTTTAGAGTTGTTTGAAAGTGGTCCATTTAAAATGAGTAATAAGTCCTTGATGGCCACACGATTATTGTAAATCTCTTGTCGTTGTAGCGTGTTTTTAACCCGCTGGGCCGCTGCCCTCAGTGACGTCGGATGCGTGCAGCTCGTGTGGGCGGGACTGGCAGTAGTGAAAAGACATGGATCCGCGTGCTGCCTGCAGTCTGACAGCTCCTACTCGCTGCCGTCAATGGTCTTTGAGAACTCGTCTACTTTGACGCGTGAGGGACTTGTTCTTTGCGTTTGCGAACAACTTCCTTCGTTTATTGTTTTGTGAAAAATGTTTTGGTTGTGAGTAGGTCAGCGCGCGATGTTTTTTTTTTATTCGACCCAGTGCTGTCTCGCGCAGCTGTAGAGGTCGTTTCCTGATCAAGTCGCTTACCTGAAGGATCCTGGAATATTTGATGCGAGAACATCCATAGTGGCTGTTTCTTAAAGTTGGTGTTTATACACCACAGAAGGATTTGATTGATTATGGCCAGCATGCGACATTCATATGCTGTTACAATACCAGAGGAGCCACCTGCGACTGCGTTCCCCTTTATACAACAGGACATGCGGAGGAAAAACTCTATGTCCGGCTCCATGCTGGTCTCCACATTCGTTGGACTTCTGATTAATCATGCCAAGGTATGAACACGCTTCATAGGCGTATTACGGCAATTCGTATGAACATTTAAACCTTCTAGTATATGTTTTTATTATTTTACTATTTTCACTACTGCTTGTTCATTACATACAAGTAACAATTCTATTACAAAAAAAAAATCCATGCCAAGGTATGAACACGCTTCATAGGCGTATTACGGCAATTCGTATGAACATTTAAACCTAGTATATGTTTTTATTATTTTACTATTTTCACTACTGCTTGTTCATTACATACAAGTAACAATTCTACTACAAAAAAAAATAGCATTTCTTTTGCCTTACTCTCTGGGTTTGTAGTTCATATTAACTATTCACTTCTTACTGGCATATATTCTATTTATTGGTCTATTCTAGTTTGACTAGATTATATACAATTAACTAACAAATACACCAGTCCACTCAATTAGTATTTGTAAAAGGGAAATAGATAACTCTAAGAAATAGATAACCAATAACTTGGAATACATAATACTAGTCATAAGTGAATAGTTTAAACCTGAACCACAGATCTTACCAGTACCAATGGAATAGCTACTTAAGACTAATGGGATATCAAACAGTAGCAAAGCAAGTACTTGTATGCAATAAACAAATAATACACTCTAAAAAATGCTGGGTTAAATACAACCCATTGCTGGGTAAAATAGGGACAAACCCAGCAATTGGGCTGTTTTGACCCAGCGGTTGGGTTAAATGTTTAACCCAACCTTCTGGGTAGTAACCCATCTGCTGGGTCAAAACAACCCAATTGCTGGGTTTGTCCTTATTTTACCCAGCACTGGGTTGTATTTAACCCAGCATTTTTTAGAGTGTACAGACTAATTGAATACATACATAGTTACTACTGGAGTAAGTACTAGTGTCTAACTAACTAGTGAAAACATTGGATTAGTAGCAATAAAAATAAGTACTAGTACCATAAAATAGATGCTAGCTGATTTCAAGGGATAAATGTTAAAGCATGAATGGGACTTATTGAGGCCCAGTGAATAATCTTTAAAAAGCAGTTCATGCTGTGATGTCATTAATATTGCACTTACCGCCCTTTATAAGGGATCAGTATTCTGACAGGTCACTGCTTATATAATGCAAATTCATGTTTTTTGCATTTGCTGTTTCGGTGTATTGACATATTCTAACCACTGACTACTATGTTATGTCTATGCCAGTGTGCCACTTTGGGATAAACTGATGAATCAGTCTTATTGATCCTCTAATAAAAGTTTAGGTTTCGATGAGAGCACCTTACATTCGGTTTAACAGAAAGCATACTTCATTATTTCTTTGAAGTGAAGCAACAGAGCAACATAAATCAACAGCAGCCTGCATGCAGCTGATGAATGAAGCATAAGGCAGTTCAGAATGGCTGTTCATTGTTACGTAATGAGCAGAAATCCCATTAGAGCTCACTCCTGTACCCGGCAGAGCTCTCAGTCCTGCCCAGTGCCACCCGGGCCAGGACTAGGCCTGGTGTACCAGCTTTTCTGCTGAGCCTCCATTATCTGCCTCATGATTAGTTTTAGCGTCACTGAATGTGCTTTGAAATTCATCAGGACACTTACATATTAAATTACCCATATATTTAGCACCTTGGCACCATATATTTAGCGTGTGTAAACAGGATTCTCTCCATGCACGTTTCGTGAGTCACTTCCCCTGATCACCCCTTTTTGAGCTGGAGGTGTGACAAGTAAAGTATAATGTGATTGTGAAGGACATTGAGTACCAGCAGTGCCTTTATCTTGGTTTGCTGAAACAGGACAGTCCAAATGAAGTGTTTTGTACTAGTTTAACACATTGGTACATGGGACAGAATGCTGTGCTCCCGTCCATATTACAAGCACTTGTTAAAGTCATGCAGATTCTTTCCTCTGTACCATAGTGGTAAAAAATTGGCACAGGAGCAAGAGTATTCCTGGGAAATTCAGTTCTTCAAACTGTGTCCGAGTTCAATAGTCTTTTTTAAACAGTTACAAGGAAAACCTCAACCAGCATACAGCTAAGATGTGTGGAATTATTTAGCTGGCAGTGTAGGACAGGAGACAAAGTTGACATAAAACAGATGGTATAAACTCTAAATAGTACCTGATGGGTTAATCTCACAGTTTAAACCAGCTAACAGAGCTTTTTAACTAATATTAATGTGGGTCAGTGTATGCTGATTACTGAAGGCCGCCAGTCTGGATGTTTTATCTGGATATTTGCTCCACATTTTCCTCTCACAGTGAGCTGTTATAAAAGCAGGATTAGTCTTCCCTCACCTCTGTAATTGGGAGAACGCCGAACAGAACACTGTGACCCACTTCCATATTCTCCGGCCACCAGAGAAATAGAGGAAAAAGAGTGTTATAGACGAGGATTTGAAACATAAAATCACTCTGTATCAACGTACAAGGCAAAAACCCATATCAAGTCATTATATTATGTTCTTCGTTAGACATGAAAATAGTAAAACTGTTAAACGTATGCATTTGAGTTGTTCACACAGAGAGCTTTGCCTTGCTGGAGTAATTTCAATAGGTACTTTCATCATGCTCAATATGACTCTCATATCATTTGGGCAGGTGTTCTTAACCTTTTAACAGGTTCCTCCAGAGTTTGCGAAGGCACTTTTCACCCTGAGACCAAGTGATTCAAATGTTGTATACTTATTAGAAGGTTATTAGCTGCATGTACCGCTATATTGAGAAACAACCACAAGCTGTTTTAGAAACAACAACAGCAGTAGCTATGTTTCCATCCACCTATTTTTATGCGCATTTTGGATTATCGCATAAAAAACCGCTGGATGGAAACGTTAGATGGAAGATGGAAAAAAAATTTTATTCTAAAAATGTGCATAAAAAACTTGTGCACAATTGAGTAGGATACATTTTTTTTATCCCATAAAAAAAAAATTCGCATAAGCTACGATGGAAACACACTTACCGAATAAATTCCACCATGCGCATTGAAAAAGTCATGTGACTTTGCGCTATGAGACGGGATAAATTGACTAACCAGCGGACCAATCTCGTTCACAGCATCTATATGTTGTTTTGGTCGTTCTGAAATGCCTGAGGAAAGTCTGCCATCAAAGTATTTCTGTTTAATTACTTTCTTACATGACTGCGTTCCCAAACAGCAGGCATCCACCTCTAAAAGCAATGACCACATTTATTGTGTTACGTCTGCTATCTCTGAAGTGCAAGTAATTTATTACATATGAAAATTATTATTTTCAGTGGCTTCTCCTAGTTTTCTTATAGATATTTAGTGCCAGTTTATCAGGAAGTGACGATTTTGTTCTCTTTGACTCGTTGGATGGAAACGGTGCTTTATTTGCAAATGTTTTATGCGATATTCCAGTTTTGCGCATAAGTTACATTTGCATCTTTGGATGGAAACATAGCTATTGTCTCATTTCACACAGCAGTGGATGTCTTCTTCAGAGTGAATCACAACAAACTAAAATAGACCTACTTGCAGGACGTTTTCTTCATCTGGCCTTCATATTGATTTCTCAGTTTTAGTACAGTATGATGTAGGATGTTGGTATTTGCAGATTTTCATATGATGTCTTGGTTTAGAGCCTGTAAAAATCTTGTGAGAAGATATGGCTGTCAGAGATGGCTGCCGGGATCAGTGTTGCAGTGACGATGACAAATCAGCCAATGAGCGGACATCCCATGTGAAAGGATGCTATTTTTGGCAGCGTTGATATTACTCAGCAGAGTAAGGCAAACTGGGCTGGTGAGCCTGTTCCCATGAAATGGGTGTTCAGCAAGCATTTTCTATGGAAGCATGGATTTAGATAATACCCAGTTAATGAGTTTGTTGAACATTTCTGGTATGATATATACTGCCATGAACTGTTTGTTCTTCAAATATTGACTGCCTTGCTACTGAGGCGGTCGGGACAAATGTGGTCAGTGTGAACATCCTGGCCAGCACCAGGTAAGTTCGTCAGAGTTCCAGCACAGGGAGGATCACGTTTCCCCTCCCGTGCTTTGGCATGACAGAAAACAACATAGTGTCAGATTACTGGCCAGTCCGCTTTAGCACTCTAGCACCTCTACCAAAAAAACTGATTGTATGGAAACATAGATCTCCGTTTCCTGGAACGATTTGACTTGAAGTGCGGTCACATTTAATGATCCTGGCTGGAATTTCGAAATGCAGTAATTTCAGTTTTGCGTGAGGGCAAAAAAGTCAAAGATTTCATTAGTGTTTAAGTTGGTCACCTAAATTAGCCACATTGACCAACAGAAAGGTCTGAAAGTCAAATATGTGTGAGCTACTATTGAAAATCGACCTTTTTGCCCTGCAAAATTTCGGCTAATTTAACCGCATCTTATGAGAGCAACATTTCAATCCATTTGACAGCTTACTTGAAATGTGTGACTAGTCGCTGTCATCTAGACTATGACCTGTGCTAACATTTCATCTCCTCTCTGTTTTTCAGAACTCAAAGAGTGCCCAGGGCCTGGTGGGTCTTCGTAATCTGGGAAATACAGTAAGTGTTTTTTAATAGGATGTACTAGCTGCTCTCATAGGTGAAATGTGTGCTTGTATTCTGTAGGACTTTTTTCTTGTCAATTTTTGGCTCAAACCTTCGAGCTGGACTACAGTGCCTTGCGAAAGTATTCATATTTTTTTCACGTTTTGTTATGTTGCTGCCTTATGTTAAACTGCTTTAAATCCATACACCATAATGGTAAAGCAAAAAACAGGTTTTTAACATCTTTGCAAATTTATTAAAAATAAAAAACTTTGATTCCATAAGTATTCAAAAAAGCACCTAAAGGACCCCCCAGACTGTGAGAAACAAGATTCTCTGGTCTGATGAACCTCAATTCCAAGCATCATGTTTGAAGGAAACCAGCTCTGCTCAGCACCTGCAGAGTACCATCCCAAAAGTAAAGTGTGCTGGTAACAGCCTCATGCTGTGGGGCTGTTTTTCAGCGGCAGGGACTGAGGCACTCATCAGAGTAGAAGAAAAGCTCAATGCACCAAAATATAGAGACAGCCTTAATGAAAACCTAGTCCAGAGCATTCAGAACCTCAGACTGAGCAGAAGGTTCACCTTCCAACAGGACAATGACCCTAAGCACACAGCAAGAGTGGCTTATAGACAACTCTGTGAATGTCCTTGAGTGGCCCAGCCACGGCCTGGGATTGAACCCAGTCAAATATTTCTGGAGAAACCTGAAAATGTGTGTCCGCCCCCATCCAACCTGACAGAGCTTGAGAGGTGAAAAGATGAGGAGAAGAATGGCAGATAATTGCCAAATGCTGATGAGCAAACTTGTCGCATCAAACAAAAAAGACTTGAGACTGTAAAGGTGCTTCAGCAAAATATTTAGCTAAGGGTATGAATGCTTATGCAATGTACTTATTTCAGTTTTTTTTTTTTTTTATAAATTTACGAAGTTGTGAAAAATTCTGTTTTTGCTTTGTCAATATGGTGTATGGAGTGTAGATTGATGTGGAAAAAAAGTAATTTAAAACATAAG